ACGGTCGAAATATTTGAATTTTACACGGGATGTACCAATAACCTTTGAAGATGTACCGATACCCCTACGCTCCCAACAGATTTTTTAAATGGAAAACACACCATAACGGCTCTATTGACTTCACCAATGATCCCCCAACGTTCAGAATTGATCCAAGGTGTATTTAAACAAGTTCTGAAGCCTATGATCAACAAGAATTGAGAAAGAATCAAGAGAGAAAGCTTCAAACATCAAGTTTGTGCAATCCAAGCCAAATTCCTTTCAATATTCATTTTTCTTTCAAGAACACACTTTGTGCTCAATTGTATTCATCTTTGTTGTTCTTTTCTTGTTCTAGAATTGTGCAAACAATCTACCATGTGAGGTTTTTCTGTAAAGTTTGTGAATTTGTAATTTTCTCTTTGGGAGAGAGTGTTCTCAAGAATTTGGGGTATAATTCTTGAGAGAGTTGAAAGGTTATTCTTTTTCCTCAAAAGAAAGACAAATTAGTGAATTTGTGGAAAATCCTTAGTGTGGATAGCTAAGGTAGTGGACATAGACTTTGGTTGAGAAAGTCGAACCACTCTAAATCGTTGTGCAAATCTTTTCAATTTTCTATCAAAGCTTCCACCAAAATTTTAATTGCCAATTCACCCCCTCTTGGCTATTTAGTCGATCGATTAACTCAACACAATCAAATCAAAAGACAAAATTAATCAAATATGTATTTCATCAGACAAGTTTAAAAATATATCAGCCAAGGTTTAACAACCCGCATAAAATAAAACTATTTCAACAAAATACAAATAAAATCATTCATCTCAATAGTGCCTTTTTTTAAGCTGAACTGATCATCGACCACCACTCTCTCGGGCACAGGTAGCTCCCACTTCCAAGTTCTACTCTTCCCTAAGTGCTCAAACTTCCATGGTTGGTAGAAGAGAAATATGGAGAAAGAGAAGATTAATTTCTAAGTACACAAAAAATGCAAGATTATGATTTTCTCTTCACCAAAAGGTTCCTATTTATAGTACTCCAAGGCCAACACAACATCCAGTAGAGATTTTATATTTTCCTTAATTTTCAGCCTTTTTTATAATAGGACAACTATCAAAATCCATAAAATTCTATTCTAATTGTCTGTTGACTCGTTGATGCTTCAACAATGACTTTGTACACATAGTAATTCAACCTCCCTTTGCTTTCAGTAATATTTGATAGTATCAAAGAAAACACAATATTAGGGTAAATTATAACACAACAATGTTGCAACAAAAGAACAAAAGTTAAGCCCAAAATTCATCAATTCACTCTTATAATACATGTGATGCAATTTATACTAAAATGCTCTAAATATGGTCCTAAAATAATGAAGTTCAAGCTTGAACCTAAGTAATAAGATCTTAAATAATAATTCTTTTGAAGATTTATCACACCCTTAAATCTAAGTGTTTGCTACTCCTTAAGTAACTACAATTCATGAAATGCAACAACACTAAACTATGTTACCAAGCTAAGTCATTTTAAACTCAATTTTTTCAGTTGTCATGATTTTTGTTTTGCTCCCAAAAATTTGATAGCATTGCATGATCTTTAATTAAGAAATGTGATGTCATATTGTCGGAGCTAAAATTTATATTGTGATGTTGCGTGTATATAGGGTGCATCCAATCAATACTTAACGAAATTAGAAACTTGTAGTTCTACTCACTTATTATTATTGCTAAATTATAGTGTATCTACATCTCCCTCCACTTATTCTTTTCTTTTCTTGCTAGAGCCAGATAGGCATTTCCAACATACTTTTTTTCTTCCTTTTTCTAAAGCCAGATAGGCACTTTTAAAAAAAAAATTGGCTAGAGCCAATTTTAGGCACCTCTAGGTTTTTATGAGAGTTTGACTGTTGCTACAATATCTACTTTTTTTATAATACTGTGAGATTTAAAAGCTCAACAAATTTCTATTGTCTCTAAATATTGAAAGCATATAACCTATTGTGTCAATAATTTCCTATAGAATTCTAACCCTAGCAAGAGTCAAAAATATTTCTTTTCTACACTTCATAGTTCAAGGTTTATTCTCGTCGAACGTCATCAAAAATACTTAAAAGTTTCTTAACTAAGGAAATTTCCTAACCTGGTTAAATTTATTTTATTTTAATTTTTCTTAACTAAGGTCTTAGCGGGAGTACCAAAGTACTGTAGAATTTTCTTTAATGTTGAGTATAATTAAACAAATTAAAAAATGTTTAAATTTAAAAATAAAAAATAAATCAACATACGAAAAGTGTCGAATCTTATTTATTTATTTTTTTTGAGGGGGAAAGGATGAATGGCAGAATTGGCCAAATAATCCAGGCAGGTGGATTATTTGGCCCAATAGGCCACCCAGACTTTTAATTTGGGATCTACGGCAAATGTAACAATGCCCAAGGAACTTGTCACGCCATGGTGACGAGTTCCATGTGATATAATTTTTAATGGGCCATGTTAGGTGGGTCCTGCAGCCCAAATAATTTGAATATATCCTCAAGGACTAGTCATACCCGCGTGACGAGTCCCAATAAAAAATATTTTTTTTGAAATTTTTCAAAGAAATATAAAAAAAATATTTTAATGTCCATAGAACTTGTCATTGCTTTCTGTTTAGCCATCCATGCCTTGTAATAAGTCGAAATATAACCAAATGTATTCCGAATGGATGCCACTAACACATAAACAGACACTCTTGGATTTTTTCCACCAACAGCTTCACATAAGAGCATATGACATCCGAATCTAAATGTCTGTGGTCTTGTGTCAAGGAGGTCATTGTACATATGTGCTCTGCATTGAACCTTGTGACTTCCTACAACATCTTTCGTTGTAGGTATGATACTCGTATCCTCCATTTACAACCAACATCATGGTGTATACACCTCACAAAATAAGTATTTTGATCCAACTCCGAGACATAGAATTGAAGATGAGCTTTGATGCAATACTCCTTGATTGCTAGTTATGTCTATCTTTTTTTCAAATTGAGACCCAATAGCCAACTCAGATGATCGCTCGTCTGAATAACCATAGTGGGCAGCACATAACTCTGGCATATCAAATATTCCAGGATTCCGCATAGCATCGTAGTTAATGTCATGCATTGCAACTGCATGATGTACTGAGGCAAATTATGGTGAGGCATTTCAGGTTGAGGGTATGTCATTGGCCGAACATTTGGAGCATTCTGCAATCCTTGACATCGTGAAACAGCTGTCTCTCATACATCAGCCTCAACATTCAAACCTTGTCCCTCTGAAGCAACCTCAAAAAAATCTTACTCATCAACTAATGGTGTGTCGTCATCCTCTACCAACGGAACAATATCTTCATCATCCTCGCTAAATTCAGCAAGGCTTTCATCGAACCGTCCAACAAGGTTATCATCACCATAACTTGCATGTGGTTTAGAGGGTTCTTCGAGCTGGTACTGATGACGTCAGAATATCAGTTGTATTTGTGGTTTTGACGTACATCTCCACCATATTATTATTTGATGATTGATGAAGTCCAATCATAATAACAACATCGTCATCGTCATCAAGCTGAACTTTTCCATTTGTCATTGGATTTGAGGAGATCAGATGCCGATAACTTAAACATGAAATAGAAGCTCCAAGTTTTCTCTCAATTTTTTGCTTCATTTGGCGATGAGATACATCTACAGGGAACATCATATTGATGGGCCTGTGTGACTTAAACACAACACTAACATCAATTTGTAGAATTTCTCCATTATAATGAACAACTGTGAAGAATTTGTTACTCATTGTTTGAAATGTTTTTGGTTAGATGAAAGGAGTTTGTTGTGTAAGAGATTGAAGTGAAAAGAGTGTGTTGTGTAAGAGATGAAAGGAGTGTGTTGTGTAAGAGATGAAAGATGATGTTTACAACTTAAAGGGAAAATAATTTTTTTTCGTTGCGAGTTCCATGGACATTAAAATATTATTTTTTTTACATTTCTTTTAAAATTTTCATAAAAGAATATTTATTTATTAGAACTCATCACGCAGTTATGACGAGTCCCGGAAGATATATTAAAATTATTCGGACTGTGGGACCCACCTAACACGGCCGGCGTGACGAGTTCCACGGACATTAAAATATTATTTTTTTACATTTCTTTTAAAATTTTCAAAAAATAATATTTTTTATTGGAACTCATCACGCAGTTATGACGAGTCCCGGAAGATATATTAAAATTATTCGGACTGCGAGACCCACCTAACACGGCCCATTAAAAATTTTATCTCATGAAACTCATCACCCGACGTAATAAGTTCTTGAACACTGTTATATTTACCATAGATCACAAATTAAAAGTCTATGTGACCTATTATAGGGCCAAATTAATCCACCCCTGGATTAATTGACCAATTTCGCTGAGGATGAATTGTGGTTCACCCTATTTTAATTTGACGACTATATTTAAACGTCGAGGGATGAAAGACATGAGAGCTTCTATTCAATGTTTTGATTTGACGTTCTGTTCTTAGAATGCAACTTATCTTAAAAAGCTTATACGTAACAATATAATGATGGAAAAGGCAGAATAGGTCTACAACTCAAATTACAATACCCACAGCCTTCTATAACTAACTTCCAAAACTTCAGTCAATTTTCCTATTTATATGTTATACTGCTTTATAAACCAAGTCAATTTTCCTACTTCTTTGTATTTACATAATCATTTCTGATGAAAAATTTTAAGTTTTAAATCTGCCAAATTTATAATTTTTCCAAAAATTTCGACCACCCTCTACTGAGACAAGATATTTATTTCCACCGAAAGATCCACACGTGTTTCATCCCACGATCCAACGGGTATCATTTCGACGGTGATTGGCATTTGCCATCACAGTCAGCCTTTTACCCAATCCCTAAAACCTAAACGAAATGATGGTTTTAGTTCCATGCAATAAGACACATGGAAAAAAAAAACATCGTCACGTGTTTCCACCCTTATGATTGATATCTTGTTGTGATCTTCTTCCCCATACCTCTCTCTCTTCCCCCCGGTGTTCTTTTGGTTTCTTAATTTCAGTGCATGAGCTTTGGAAAACAATCATGATCTCTCGTAAGTACTCTCTTCTTTAACTTTTTTTATTGTATTTCTTTTCGTTTCAATCGATTACCCATAAAAACTTACTTTTATGTGCCCTTTTTCCCTCTTTGAAGAAACCTCTTACGAGTTCAATGGTATTTTCTAATGATTTCCCTTCAGTAATGATTTCTCTTTGAAAAAAAACTAATATTGATTACATCAAAACATCAACTTTTCTTTCGACCCACCACTTTTGATGCAGAACCAATTTCTCAGATTTCTTTTCCTCTTGTTTGCAGTTTTTAATTAAAAAAAAGCCTTTTTTCACTTTTTTTTAATGTATTTCTCGTCAGCTAAACAAAGTTGACCCAGAATATCACAAGAAGACAAACTTTCTTTGCTGTCAAAAGGTCTGTTCAATCAACTTGTTCAAAGATTTATCATTCATCTATACTCTATAGTCTTCAAAAGAATTAATCAAATTCAATGTATGAACAACAAAACTGTTTTGCCCTTTGAAGCAGAAAAGTTCATTTCTTGACACAAGAAGAAGAAGAAGAAGAAGAAGAAGAAAGAAGAAAGAAGAGGAGATTGCTGAGATTTTGGTTGATTGTATTTGGTCAGATATAGCAACAAAGAGATGGGATCTTTCAAGGGTCATGCTTTGCCAGGGACTTTATTCTTTGTTGTAGGTGTATGGCACATATGGAGTTCCCTGGTCCGGTATGTGTCAAACCCCAAGTCTTTTGAGGTCAGGGTGTGGAACCCAGTTCCTGGTTTTAATGGGAAGTTGAAGCACTTGGAGCTTTATGTTGTAGCCATTGGTGCTTTCATTGATCTGTGCATTGAGCTTTTGTATTCAACCCACCTCAAGTTTATTGTCAATGGAGGCCTGAATCCATCGCACTTGAATGATTTTGAGCATTCAGGGATGCTTCTCATGTTTTTCCTCTTAGGTTCCATCGCTTTGCTTTCGGAGAAAACGAGGTTAGTCAAGGTGTTTTAATCAGTTCGTATACTTTCTTTGTTATTTGATAATGATTTTTATGTTTTTTGTGTAAAAATATGAATGAAATGGGAAGAAGAAGAAGAGGGGAGAGGATCAATCATCAATGGACTTTTGCCTTTGTTTTTGTTTACTTTGGAATAACCGACATACAAGATTCGTTTTTGTTGAACAATATGTGAAAGCATAGAAAACCTGCTTTTAATTTAGAGAATCAAGACAACAATTAAAGAAATTGCTTTTAGGAACAAATCTTTCTCTTGATCTCACTTTTTGTTTTATGAATAGTTTAACAGTGCCTGTAATGAAGTTGTTGCCAAGTCACTTTTGTTTGCCCTCACTTTGCAGTTCCACCCCCCCTCTTTTTTTTCAGGAAAACACATGGAAAATAGCATTTTTTTTCTTTTTACTGCTAGATCAAAAAGATCTTGGAACCTTCATTAAACTGATATAATCATGCTTTTGACAGAACATGTGTGAACTAGGTGGTCTCTGCCCTTGTTTACTTTACATAACAATAATAGACTTTTTCATGGGATATTTCATAATGAACTAATCCACAATTTCTCTTGGTCTGGCAAACAAGGTGTTTTTGAAAGGCATAGAGCGGTAGGGGATAGGAGGGAGGAAGTTATAAAGGTTTTATAAGCTGCAGATATTGCATCAACTGCTTTGTCTTCCTTTGTTGTTTTGGGGAATGATTGTATACCAAGTGCACTATTACAAAACAATAAAGTTCATCTCTAATTATGACTTCTATGTCTGAAATATGTATGGCTAATTTTACAAACATCTTGGTTTTAATCTGTTGTTGGTCAGTTTTGTTTCCTTACCACAAGGATCCCTTTGTCTTATTGCGGCCGCAGCATTCACCGCAGAGTATCTGCTGTTCTACTTTCACTCAACCACTCACAAGGGCCTTGAAGGATACTACCATCTTGTCCTTGTCCTTCTAGTAGGACTTTGCATTTTGACCACACTTGCAGGAGCTATCTTGCCGAATAGCTTCCCAGTTGATTTGTGTAGTGGAATTGCAGTAACTCTCCAAGGCCTCTGGTTCTACCAAACCGCTTTCACCCTCTACGGCCCCATGATGCCGGACGGATGTCGACTCAAGAATGATGAAATTCGTTGCCATCCAGCAGATAGTGAAGTTCGAGGTCAGTTAATTGCTAACTTCCAGCTCTTTTCTCTGGTGCTGGGTGTGGTTGCTGCTGTTGTGGGGTCATATGGTTTTGCAGCTTCAAGATATGGGAATTTTGATCTTAGAAGCATGCAATCAGTTCAGCACGGTAAGCAATCTTTAACTTTGGCATATAATGATTTTTTTGCATATAATCGGAGCTTTTATAAAATAGTGTTGCAATGGTATTTTACAGGCTGAAGTTTTCATAGCAGGTGAAATAGAGCTTACATTACTAGTACTATTAGTTCATCAGAATCAACAACAACAAAATAATGATGGTGATGTACAACTACACAAGACAGAGAATCAATTATACCTCAATTTCAATATTCTTTATTGACTATGGTAATTGCTTGTTTTGTGGATTAAATTAATTTCAAAACCCTCTATGATATCTTCTGACCTAATTTCCTTTTCATGTTACCAGCTGTCTCACAAATTTGTTTAATATATGACTAGAGGTGGTATGGTAATAGTACCACTACAAACTAGAAAAAGTTCTCCAGCGTTTGCTTTGGTTTCTAAAATTAAAAATACCAGAAATGGTCTACCGCGGCGGAATAAACACGTGTTTGGCTACCATAAACCAGCTAAATCGCAACCTCATCTCTTTAGCATCGAAATGTCAACACTCAAATCGCACCTCTGACTTCAGACCGATCAATCTATGCAATGTGGCCTATAAGATTTACTCCCCTGTATTGCTGAAAATGTCGGATCTCACTGCTCATTTCCACAATGGTTTCATTAAGGGTTAGTGTTGTTAAACAAGCATGCCTACGATTTAGTTTTTGGAAGATCAGGGGCTAAATTAAAAGAAAAACTTTACGCATCTGTAAAGTGAAAACAACACTCTTTAATGAATATTTGGTCTAAATATTTGTGAGAGCTATTATAAGCAACTAATTATGGCCATTGGATTTAAGTGAGAATTTTCATCTTTATTTTGGATTCTTGGATAAATGGATAGTAAAGGATTTAAAATAAATGAAAAAAATATTAGGCAAAAAGGGTACATGAGGTCCTTGTACTTTTCAAAATAAACTAATATGGTCCTCGTATTTTTTTCACCCAGTTTGGCCCTTTGACTAACTGTTTTTGTCGTTGATCGTTACGATATTAATATGGCAATCCACATTGGCTGGTAACATGACTAATGATGTGATAGATAAGCTAAATTGATTCTTTTCCTTTTTTAAGCATTTTTTACCCTCAAGTTTTATTTTCATTGTAAAATATGTCATAATTAGATGAAACCGTTAATTAACTAATGATCAGCACTTCCTATTGACTAAGCATGTTCTCGTGGATTGAAATGTAGAAGTGACATGTCCACATGTGATGTCACGTCAACAAAAAAAATTATATTTGAGTTAATCAATTATAAATGATTATTTCAGTTAATTATTTAAAATAAAAATAATTCAACATTTATACTGCAAATATAAATATAAATCAATTTAATTTGTATTATAATCAATATATTTTCAACTATATATGTACTTATTTACAATTGCCATATACTCTAAACACCGTTATTGATCAAAATGTACCAATCAAATAGGTTGGTTTGGCGGTTAGGTGTTAAGCCATCCAACGACCACCTCATCCGACCTTTATTGTTTGGTTTGCTTTCCTTCTCTCTTTTTTAAATCAATCAGATGGCGGCTAACTACTCTAATAAAAATAATTATTTATAATTAATTAATTTAAATATATATTTATTTTTGATGTGACGTCACGCATGGACATACCACATTAGTATTTTAGTTCACGTGGACATGTTTAATGAGCAGGAATTATTGAGAATTAGTCAATTAATAATTTTCATCTAGAGATATTTTACCTCAAAATAGTGGTCAAAATACTTAAAAAAAATAAAGAATATGAACCAAGAGAATCGGGAGCAATTTTGTCATTATATATTGTTTTTAATGTAGGTAAATGTACAGTAAATTAAGTGAATGCTTTTCTTTTTCTTTCCTCTTTAATTTTGCTAAAGATGATTAGTCTTGATTGTAACAATTCTATAAAGGTTTGTGAAACCTAAACCTCAAAAGAATGTATAAACAATTGGAAATTGTGAATTGCAAGATATTCACTTGCGGAAGAAGAATAGTTTAATCTTAAAATCTTTTCCTTTCACCAATTCTAAGGTCAATATTGTCTGCAATTGTGAATCCAAGACGTCTCTTCTCAAATATTAAAGTGGCATAAACTAAAAGTCATAGTCTGACCTTGACTTTCTTTTTTGAGTGGACAAAGAAAATGGCCCAATAATTGTCAGCCCAATCCAATTGGGCTTATTTCTCCGACTCAAGGCACCATAATTAAATAATTTACTAACATATTCTATTTTCTTTGATCACCATTAGTCTCTTTTTTCCTTCATCTTTGTAAATGGTGACAGATACCATTCATTGTTTTTACTTTATTTTATTAGAGTGTATCTTTATTTTTTTTTTGTTATTGTTTTTAAATTTATAATAACTCTATTTTTATGGCATATTTTCTAATGTCTTTGTGGTAAGTGTTTTTCTGTCGTTATGACACGTTTTTGTCCATTTGGTCGTTGTTTCCATTTATCATTTTTCTCAAAGTTAGATCTGGACATGAATTATCAAGATGACATTTATTTATTGTCTTGATGATCTTCCCTCCTTTGGACATTCAGATTGGACTTGGATATAAAATTTGTGTTTGTTGTAGTTTTTTTAAGTTGTTCGACTTTGACTTGTAGGTTTTCATTGGTCTTTCAATAACTTAATCCACTTTTGTACTTTGATTTGTGGGTTTTCAGTGGTCTTTCAATAACTTAATCGACTTTTGTATTTCGTTTGTTAATGTATTCAAATCTATTCATATCTACCTTTAGTTTAAATTTATTTAGTTAAGTTTTTAACCTTTTCAATTTTCTTACGATAATGATTGTAGAAAAATATCCTTTCGCTGAGTTTACGATATTTTTAATCATAACTTTTATTGTTATTTAGATATTTTTATTTTTAATAAAATTAGCTGCTGCTATTAACATTGTTTAAACTAGATGACGTTTCTTATGCCGCATAATGAAACAGTATAATATTATCAATTGTATACTATTTTAACCTATCAAAATAAAATTAAAAAAAAGTAAGGAATATAACAGTCTTATTGCCATTACTACATATTAACCTTCATCCCATGATTTTTTTCCTCATAGTTTTCTTTACCAGAAATGAGTTGTATAACTTAATAATGAGATGAGAGTACAACACGCTGACATAGGAGGTGCTTTCTTTCCATATTGAACAAACTAAAGAGAATTGATACACACGCTATATTTGGATATTAAATCCGAAACTGAAACAAATAACACAGCCTTCACCCATCTTTTCCCATGTTCCTCTACTGATACAGTGAGAAGGGTTAAAGCAAATACGAATGCATGGCAAAGTAGATGATTTTAACACCTTCCCAGATCATCATCTTCAATATCAGTAGGACTTTGTCTGAATTACATTAACCATAAAAACAGCAGCAGCAGCACATTTGCATTTATTTGATGATAGTCTGTACACAAGGTCGTAGCAACCCAAATGGCTCAAAGCACCACACGCAAGCAAGCTAAACGCTATGGTTTGGCTTCATTAGCGTAGGTGTGATGGAGACGGCCCCTATAAGGAAAAGAATGGCAATCGAGTTAAAGTCATAAAGATCCCCTAACGATTGCAACTCTCCCAAAGCTATTCCAGCCTGCAGAAGAAACAGATAAACATGCATTATTAAAGCATCAAGTGTGGCATTTATGTGCTTTTCATTTCCATGTCAAACTTAAGAGAGAATAGACTAGTTTTATTGCGCAATATACCCTGACAGTTATGTAAGCAGCAGGAATGAGTCCAATAAAAGTTGCCAAGAAGAAAATATGATAGGGCACGTCGACGATAGGTGAAGCAACATTAATGAATGTATTTGGTAAAGTTGGAGTAAGCCTTAGGAAAAGCATATAGTTCAATAGCCGCTCCCTCCTTTGAGCTATCTGCATGCACAAAGTTAAAACTCAATTCATTTTTTGTTTAGCTCAACATAAGCCGAGATGGCTTCAGTAAGGAACTGAAAATCACCTGGGCTTGGAAGAAGCTCAGCTTGTCAGGCCAAAGGGATACGACGAGAGGTCGCCCAATCAATTTTGACAGGAAGTAGCAAGAAGAAGCACCAGCAGTGGCAGTTACCACAACAAGAGCTACACCTTTCAAAACTCCAAACAGTGCTCCAGCAAGCAATGACATGAAAACAGTTCCCGGAATCATGAAAGTTTGCATGAAAATATAGACTACACAATACCCCACCAAGACTTGTAAGGTGTACTCAGCTGTGTAGGTTTCGAGGTTATCTCTGCATGATACATCATACAGAAAACAATCAATATATAGTAAAGGAACAGAAAAGACACCTCGAAGTAGAGACAACACATAGATTATCACGTCAAGGAATCATATGAGAACTTATTTGATTATGAACCCCGAAAACAGAAAGGATAATTGCAAGCTTGTTCACAGTAAGTCTCCTAAAAACAATTGTTCTTTCTGTCAACTGAAAATAGAACATCTAAAACCCCTTTTTAAGAACTAAACAGAAGGGGAAAAGTGTACAAGTATTCCTCACATAATTTGCACCGGAATTAATCAGAATCACCAATTACAGCTTCATAATGTATACAGGTATCTCAAGGGCAATTAAAGCAACATCTAATCTGATTCTTTCAGACTAGAATAGATGTTCCCCTTTGAACAATTCTTGGCCACAAATGTTCTACTTTGAACAATTCTTACCAATGTAACAAATCACAATCTTTTTTCAATGCCCCATCCAGAACAATTCATTACAGCCAAACTGGTCCACTTCTTAGCTTCTTTAGATCTCACGGCTCATCTTTTTGAGAGAAAAAAGGGGCCATTTTTCTAAGTAATCTCCCTTGAACAAGAACTTATTTTATCCTGATAGGAAAAAATACAATGCATGTAGTCCAAAATGACCACATCTTTCATTTCCACCAATAAAAATGCATTCCTTTCTGCTGCAAATTCTTTACAACAAGAGCAAAAACAAGATCGATCCCATAACTTGTTAAATTACAGGGAAACCAGAACATATAGGAATCAAAGATCAGATAGAAATCAAAATTGGCTAGGTAGATTGCATGCAATCTCAAATAACGCATTAGCCACAGAATCCAAGAGAAATCCTTTTAATAGAAATAAAAATTGACTCGGTAGATTTCATGCAATCTCAAATAATGCATTGGCACGGAATCCAAAATTCTGGTTGTATATTTTTTAATAACCTAGAAAATACAGTATATCAACAAAAAAAACAAATAAACGGGATAAGAACGACGAACCTGAGGATTTGAAGATCTTCAAGATTCCTGGGTAATTTGAGGAAGCTGTAATCAGAGGCGGGCATTGTTAAATAAACGCATGTAAGCCCCAAAACAAACGCCATCACCACCGTTGAAGCCACTGCGACCTCCCAAAAGGTCAAAAGAAAACTGGGTTTGGATCCGTTAATCTCTTCTCTCCCTTCCATTTCTCACTTTTGGTTTTAAATCCCTTTCTCCCTCTGTTCTCTCTGCTCTATGTACTTCCGCTAAAAGAAATAGAGAAAAATAAAAAAAGGGAGAGAAATAAAAGCCTTTTAGGACACTTCTTCCCCTTCCCCTTTCCCTCTCTCTCCTTCACCCTTTCCCTTTCTTCTGCGTTTCAAAGTGTATGAGGAGAGAGAATATTCCCTGGGAAGGGCATTTAATCCCAAACGTTACACACACACAAAACCAACTAAAATACAAAAAAATAAATCAGTATTTTTCTTTTTTCGAGGAGTCTAAAAACCAGCGTCCTCTGTCGTCGCCATCGCTTTTTCTCCATTTATTTTTAGTATTTTGATATTATTGTCCTTTGTATTTCTTTTACAGTGTTCTTAATGCACGTGCAATAAATATATAAAGATTTTATGGTTAGTATTTTAATGGCTAAATTTGTCTGAATATTATGGTGAAAAATATTGTTTGAATATGTTGTAAAGAAAATTATTTTATGATCTAAAGTGACTATTACAATAATGCGATAAAATGAGTTTTGTGAAGTTTAGGGTATATTTATTTTTCTCTTAATGTTTCTAGTAAAGTTATGAAGATGATTGATAAAAAATTGTTTTTTTATGAATATTTTTTTATTGTCGGGAGAATTATGGTCCATGAAGATCAATTAAGTATTCTGAAAAAAGTTTCTATGCTTATGAAATTACATCAATTAAAGATGAGTTTGATGCAACCATATATGTTGAAGAAGTAACAAGTTGATTTGAAACAAAATTCTATGTTATATAAAAATTTGGCTGAGAAAGGTTGAAAATAACTCGAGTTCGTTTGATTTATTGTTGTAATAGAGAGTGAATAGTCTAAGATACAATATTCTTATACAATTGGCTCAAAATATTTTCTCAATTTCTATCTTGACAGTTTGCTTATGAAAGTGTACAGTAATGTATTATAGATGGTTCTAGAAGTTCATTAACTTCAACGATGGTTGAAGCTTTGATTTGTATCTAAGATTAGCTTTAGAAATTTAAATATCCCATTGATCTTGACGAGTATATTGTAGAACTTCAAGTTATGAAATATGATAATATTACTTTCGATTAATAATGTTAATTTTTTACATCATTTATATTATAAAATTATTTATAATTTAACTAATATATTTATTTTTAGATACTTTTTTTTTCTTTCATTGTCTTTGGTTTTGTCTTGGTATAACTATAACCTATATGAGAAGGAAGTTCTAATGACTTAAATAACTCAATTTTTTTGAGTCGATTTCAATCGATTAAACACTCATTCCTACCCGCGTCTAAGTAAAAGCACGAACGCGATTCCCATCTCTCCCATGATCAGCAGCCATTGGTCTCTTCTCAAAGCCCAATAATACATTTACAAACCTTTCCCCTCCAGTTAATCCCCTTATAGGATAATGTCTTAAGCAAAAGCCCAAACAATTTGTCAACTATGCACAGGCCATGAACCACGTAGAAGTTAGTGGAAATCATCTAGAATGATCTTAACGGCTGAGATCGGTGTTGGGTTCTCGAGAAGAAAATGTCAACAAAGCGATATTGGAATTCTGGCGGGTCCCCAGAAAGGAAAACGAATCACAAACCATCTTCTAACTTGATCCAAAAGAAACGAATTCAATGAAAAAGTAATAGAAACCCAAAAGAAAGATTATAAGAATAATTCATTTATATTTGAAGATAGATAAAGAGTGAGTGAAAAATGGTGCTGTGGGAAATCGCATTGGGGACGGCTTATTTCTTAGGGCTTAAACGAGCCTACAAGCTTGCTTTGAAAATTCAGCGACGGATTATTAGCTCTAAACGTCCTAGAATTCGGCAATTTGCTCACAGGTAAAAATTTATTTCTTTTTAGTAACTATGTTTTTATTTATTGCTCTATTTCTTTCGGTTTTTCATCGGTGTGGTTGCTTTGGATCGTTTTTTTTTCTGTTGGTTGATCTAATATCACTATGAAGGTTGTATTTTGATTCAACTGTCGTAGTAGTATCTATCAATGGGCTTAAGGAATTGAAACGAATGCATGGACATGAATGTGTATTAGATTGTGATGAAGTGCCTCGATAAATCTTTCATTTTCCAAAGGATCCGATTGAAGTGCTTTTGGTGATTTACTTACAGGGGTTATGAATTAAGGTTACTTTAATGTCTTCAAAAAAAAATGCGGAAAATTAGGGTCTCGAGTCTTGGCATGTAAGAACTGATCATTCTTGTTAAATTAGGGTCTATTCTGTTCCCATTTTTTTCATTGGAAATGCAAAGGGTACATTCAGATGCACAGAATATTTATTAACTTAAATTTTTTTTATAGCCAAGCTCATGCTTCTGGCTTGGGAGAGATTGATACGTATGGGATCTGCACTAATGGTGCCTGCATTTGAACCTATCGAGTGGCTACAGTGGTTAAAGGGAGTTTTGTTCTCTTTTGATGTCCTAGGTTTGAGCAGTTGATTGAAAGATTATGAAATACTACCTTATATGGGCAATACCTATTTCCTTTCATTAGTTTGTGTTTGATTACACTATGAAACTCTGAATCTAGTTTTCAACTTTTTTTCTTTTCTAATGAGTTGAATCATAGATGCATTCTGTTCAACCGTAGGTCCCAACTTTTAACGAATTTTATGTGCTAGCAAAGCAAACCTCTCTAACCAACTTTTTAGTGTTGAGAAGTGGTTTGAGATAATTATGTAAATATACCTTGAATTCCAAGTGTTTCTAACAATTTTTTCGCTGAAGACATGGATGTGGTTTTTAATTGAGCCTATGATGTGCCATATGAAGAAGCCACAGTTTCCTCATAAACTGTGTTTAGCTAACAGTTACCATTGGATACTTAGGGTTTTTTTTGGTGGAAATGAAGATTTGTGTCAATTTTATGTACGAAAGGGTCAGGTTTTTCTTTTAAGTTGTTATAGTGTCGAAGTATTCCTTGTTTATGTACTTTACTATTAAGATCTATACATGCTGCACTGCTTCAGTGACTTGGTTATTTAGTTACTGTGTGGGATGCCTGTATAAGGTTCCGTATGTTTCCTGACTGTACGATTTAAAAATATCCCAAAGTTCGCTGCTTGTAAGACTAGAAATATGGTGAAGCACATGAACCAACTCTTGTAATTGTTGGTTTATTCTTCAGAGGTTCATCAATGTTGCTCCGTTGCGTTTACACCTGGATATTTTAAATGTATAGATTAGTGTAATTCTAAATATCAAATGTTTGATGCTTCAAAGTTCTCTCTAAATTTTTCTGTTTGTTTCCTTTTTAAATTGGAACCTGTGTATCTCTTCTGTCACCAGACGAACACGAGCCGTATTTGATGTAGCACTCAAGGCTCACCAGAATATACAGCAGAGAGACATAGAAGTTGGTCGAAGTATTGGTAACTGGATCCTCCGCTTGCTTGACAAAATGAAACCTTCAGCCCAGATCCGACCTCATAGCCACCAGAAACCCCATCATGATGCTGGCAATGCAAACATGAACACCCCAAAGCAGGTGAATAACTCATCCTCGTTGAAAACTCCTAGAAGCTTGCAGACACCACGAAACGGCGAAGCTGATAGACGTCTGTTTAGCTCATCAACATTTATGCTGTCAAAATCACTCCCTACGATTACAATGATGATGCAGCCACCAAAGGCTGCTGGAAACATGACTCAGTACAGGCATTTGAGCATCGATGGACCTCACACACTGAGGTTGAACAACACAAGAGGTGGAGGAGTTATTAGAAAGGATATAATGCAATGGATGGTGCGCAACTGAAGGTGAATACTCTTTCTGTTTTGCATTTGTGGACTTTGGAAGGGGTTTTTTCATGGGATAATAATTTTTCATTGTCATCTGCTTTTTTGTATATATTTTCCTGCATTCCGTTGCTTGGATTATTTGATCGTTTACTACAAAATCTGTCAATCAAATGGTATGCCATTCGAATTTCTTTGTACAATCTTGTCTGAACGTTGAATTCTCTATTTTTTTCACCATAACTCCATTTTATATTTCACCAAATTACATTGAAAACACAAGAGGTAAGACAACCGTATCTCTGTATTATAGTTGTTTTGGCTCAATTTCCCTTATTTCAGTGTGGGTGCATTTTAATTTAAAATGAGGATAAATGTATTGTACATTTGAAAATTTAGAAAGAAAAAGGTAAATTTTTGCAGTAGTTGAAAAAGCTGGTTAATTTTATGAGATGAAGGGTACTTGAATGATATGATGTAAATTAAAATATAAAGTAACATTTCCAGTTAATTTGAGGATAAAATAAGATTAAAGTAAAAGAATATGAAAATAACAAGAATCAAATGTGTAAATAAAATAAATTTAATTCTTCAATCGAATGGTAACATATGACACCATTTAATTTGAGGATTAAATTTATTTTGGTTTATTAAAAATAAGACTAAATTGAAAGAATATGTAAATAATATAGATCAAATATATAATTATATTAAAATATTTAATTGTTACATCAATTAATCTGTTAAATGGTAACGATTAGTAACTTAAATGACAACAATTAAATAGTTAGGTGGTTTGATTGAAAACAATTAAATAGTTAAGTGGTTTGATTGTTAAAATTGTAAGATCGGTAATAAAAGTAAAATGGTTAAATAATTAAGTGAATTTATCATTTTTGTCTCTATCGTATTTTCGTATCAATTTAACTCTCAAAGTTGTTTAATTTCATCACTCTATACTTTACCCATAACTTAAAACACTAAATTGATAACCCTAAGCGTTAAAACGTAACCCCATAACCTTTAAACTCTAAACTTTAAACTTTAATCTTCGACTTAAACCCTCAATTTAAGATTTTAAGTGAAAAATAGGGTATATAATGATGCAATTGAGCAACTTAGAGGGCTAAATTGATGCGAAAATGATAAATTGTGTCTACTACATAGGCAAAAGAGACACTTATACCATAAAATATTAATTTGACATTAAATTTTAAATAAGGTATTAATTTAACCTAGTTTAGATAAAATATCAATTTGATTAATAAGTCCAATCAAAATCCTCGCTATCAACAACCACTCATCATCATCTCTTGTCACAGTCAGTTGCTTTCACCATCAAACTAATTGAAGTTAATAGTCTATTGATTATATATAATGTAAGTGACCTAAATATTACTTTTTTCAAAAATAATGACTAAAATAAGGCATATATAAAATAAAAGAGGTCATCGATGTAATTTACCTTAAATTTTACTAGGAGGAGTTGGGATAAAGAGAGAAAATGATTTCGATTTAGGTGATTTTCCCGAAAAATCACCCTAGGGAACTTTAATTCCATGTCAGGCACCGTTCAGATTATTTCCCGATCTAACACCTTTTGCAAAAAGACGCGCCCCTTGCGGCGCGCTTTACGTTGATCTGGCGCCACGTGGGGTAAGGCGCGCCCCCTGAAGCGCACCTTATGCTGATTTGGATACACTGGCTAAAGCGCAACCCCTGGGCGTGCCTTACTCCACGTAGGGATATAGTGCTGGGCAAGGGCCGCACTTTTCAATTATCACACATGCATAATGCAAGGCGCGGTGCAAGGACCGCGCCTTGCATAATTTACCCAAACTTCTCGGTTTTTATGCATTGTCTCTCGCCTATAAATAGCCCCCTCCCCGTGAACTCTCTCACAACTCACTCTCAACCGAGAAATTAATATAATAATCCTTTCAACCAGTAAATAACACATGACAATCCTCTTATATTAGATTCATAAGTTCATTCGATCTTTCATTATAAGGTAATTTTGTTATAATATTTTTTTATAATTATATATTATTATTTGAAAAAAATATTATACTAATTGTTTTCAATTAATTTATGTGTTTGTAAAATTGGAAAGCGAGAGCATACGTCGAAATATTTTTACGGTGCAGATAATAATATTAAATTATATTATTTAAATTATTTACGTTTATGCGTAAAAGTTTTATTGTGTTATATTTTCGTTCATATATTATTTATTTAATTAGGTTTGTTTCAGATGTTTTTTTGCAGATAAAATATTGTCGCACTTTTAAACTCTAAGAATGACGTGACTTTCAGCTATTGTTTATTATGATGGAGAAATTCGAGAAGATGAAACTGGCGTTGTTTTCGTATCAAATAAGCGTGTGAAAATATCATTAAAGAGAAACATAACTCTTCAGGAGCTGATAACGAAGATTTCGATGAAGGTTCATGTTGAAAGTAGTAGAAGAATGGCGTCGTTGCAATACAGATTTCCAACATCATTATTGCCATTAACTTATACAGCGTTCAAACTATCAAACAATGATGATGTTGAAATGATGGTTGATTCTCAAAGTAATTATTCAGACGGCGATATTCAGATATATGCAAAGTTTGTTCAAGTACGTGCTAGTCGGGGTCAGTCATTAAGCTCCCACTATGGGCTAGCTGAACAAGTTGATCAAGTTGACAGCCCGACTACAGTAATGTGTAATGATTTTAATGCCATAATAGGAAATCCGCATCATGGTGTCGTCACATCAACTTCAATGGGGAGACATTCATCAGCAACTCCTTACGATATGTACCGAGGTTGGTTCACGAACAATCCATATGGCAACATCGTGTCCAATTCAAGGGGAAGACATTCATCTGCAAATTTATTTGACCTTAATATGGAGATGCCATCGACGCAACAATCTATGCAGCTTCCATTTGACACAATGGCTTCAAGCTCCAGGAGGAGGTATTTGACTGCGAGCTTTTTCGATATCAATGTCGATATGCCTTCTAATTCAAGGGAAAGGCATGCAAGCAGTAGGTTCTTCGACCTAAATGTGGAGAGCATGGAGGAACCATCATCTCCACCAGAAGAATCGCTTCGTGAGCTGGTGTGGATGACGCTGAGACTGGACTATTCATGCACCCAGAATCACCACAATTCAACTCCGATGATGATGATGATGTAGACGAAGTTCCCTCAAATATGACACAAAATGACCCTCCAGCACACATATATGAAGCTGATTATGGTGCAATGTACGGGTCAGAATTTGTGGATATGTCTAATCTCGGTGACTATGGATATTACTCATCAATAAATAATGGTGAGTTATCTTTAGGCATGGAGTTTTAAAGCAAAGAAGAAGCGATGATGGCTATAAAAAATTTCAATATATGTAATTCTATTCAATCCAGAGTCGACCGCTCTACGACAGAAAAATATGTATGTCACTGTGCCCGACGCGAAAACGGATGCAATTGGATTGTTTGCGTATCGAAGAGGAAGAGTAAAAACAATAGATGAGAACTAACAGCATACAACGATCCTCACACATGTTGTGCTGGAGGGATTAACCAAGATCATCCTAACTTGGACTCTGAAGTGATCTGCCAAGCCATCATGCCCATGGTAAAAGCAAGCTCCCATATAGTTATTGCTATGTTGATTTCAGCTATACAATCGCAGTATGAGTATATTATCTCCTATAAAAAAGCTTGGTTGGCAAAACAAAATGCCATTGTCAAACTTCATGGCTAATGGGATGCATCTTACAAAGAACTTCCAAGTTGGTTTAGGTTGGTGCGGAGGTTGAATCCTAGGACAATTGTGGACTTCGAAACCTCCTATGCATACCATAATAATCGAGTTCTTCGCGATCGATGCCAATTCTACTGGGTTTTTTGGACTTACCCACAGTGCATTAATGATGTCAAAAACTGCAAGCCTGTGGTCCAGATCGACGTGACTTTCTTGTATGGTAAATTCAAGCAAGTTTTATTATTGGCAGTTGTCCAAGATGGTAATCACAACATTCTTTCAGTTGCTTTTGCTCTTGTTAAAGGAGAAGATACATATTCTTGGGCTTTTTTCCTCCGAAACTTACGTGTACATGTTATCACGAGGGAAAAAATCTGTGTCATTTCAGATCGCAGAGCTAGGATCAAAGCAACAATGGAGTCTTTGGGTCCAATATGGCAACCACCCTTTGTCCAACATAGGTATTGTACCCGACACATTGTTGCGAACTACCATGGAAGGTACAAGAAGAATGATGAGCGTCAATTACTTGTGCGCATGGGTAAGTGAAACATCTTCAAGTTGTTTTCTTTCGATCATTTTAATTTTGCAAAGAAACAAAGTTAGTAAGTTCTACATTTTTTTATCAGGTTACAAACTACTTTCTCGAATATTTGAATCCATGCTTCAAGAATTGCGGGCGAAGAACGAGGAAGGATACGATTACATCAGCCTCATCGATAAAGAAATATGGACAAACGCATATGATAGTGGATATCGATATGGAGATATGACGACAAACTTGGTTGAGACAATCAATTCGACCTTAAAGGGTGCACGTCACTTACTTGTAACAGCTTTGGTAAAAACTACATATTGTCGTTTGGGGGTACTTTTTGCGAAGCTCGGGGGACAAACTCAAACCTGGATGCAAGACGGTCATGTCTATCACCCTAGATTAGTTGCAGATCTACAAAAAAAAATTGTTGAATCAAATGAAATTTCTGTAACAAGCTTCTCTAGAACACATGCATTGTTTCGTGTCACAGAGCTGCTGCGACCTCTTCAAGGGATTGAAGTTGTGTCTTTAAGAGTAAATCTACGGGACAGAACGTGCGACTGAGGATTTTTTCAAGCTCTAAAGTATCTATGCTCTCATGTGATAGCAGCTTGCTCGCATACCCGTCAAGACTATAATGGTTTTATGGATCTCGTATACCTACTATCAGAAGTTTTTAAGGTATACAAATTTGAGTTCCCCCCATAGGTAATGACAAAGACCCTAATGAGGTTCAGAATTGGCTTCCGATTGTACCAAATTCGAGTTTATTGAGGGAGCGTGGTCGTCCA